ACTTCAGAAGTTAATTTAGTATCAAAAACGTAAAATATTTGAGTAGCCCAAGACATAGCCAAAGATTGCAGCGCCACAGCACTGGTGAAAATTTAAATTTGCCGACTGGAATTCTATCGGATGATTGACTTTCGGATAATCGACGCTCTACTGTATTTACAAAGTTTCGTATAAATCGGTTCAGTCGTTCTCACATGATATTCGAATAAACGGTCAAGCAGAAAGACTGGCATACGTGAATTTCCTTGTATACTGTACATAAATATATGTTTGTACGTATACAAGTAAATTTTTCGATAATAATTGTCAAACTGGCTCCATAAGAGGCCATCCTAAGAGTCGATAATTGTCTACGGGCCGTAGAGAAATTTATTATACGATGGGCAATTATTTATTGTGACATAGTTGCCAGACTGCAATTTTTAATCATAAAAGAATCATCATGTATAGTTAATCGGGGCCTCCGACCCTTAAGTTTTCCACATATGGTCTCGATTTTTACTTTTCTAACTCCATTCTCGAGATTAACAGAAGACAGACATGCGAGCAGACGGACGACAGTAAGAATGTATAGGTATACAATTTGAAAATTGCAGCTCAATAATATATAAGATCTAGCAGCTGGACCTTTTTTCGTACGGGTATTTAAAAAAGAAACAAAAAATTGTAATACATTTATATATTGTAGAAAAATTGAATTGAAGTTAAGAAGAACGCCTACGATCTTCGAACACGTTTTTTTGTTTCATTTCAAAAATCGATGTTTTTGTGAGTATCTTTTAAAATTTTTAGGCTAATCCGCTTTACTACTCGCTTCTCAATTCTCCGCCATGATGGAAAATAACGAATTGCCTGCGCGATCACGTGATGTGAGATCTTCTAGCTTGAGTTTTGTAATTTATTTTATTTTTATTTTATTTATTTTTTGACATTTGTGAGAAATTTATAGATTGAAATTTAAATAATATAAACCAACGATAAAAGAAAATATTTTAATAAAATGTCACCATACATTTTCTATAAATTCAGTATTGATTTTTCATTTTGACATTTAGTATGGATTCCATTGTTTAAGTAATTCAGTGACCCATCAGATAAAACCACTGAACACTGGTAGCTGTGGTGTCGGGTTTGTGCCTAACAACAGGCAGGCCACATAAAGTCTTTTAGGTTTTCTTCGTGTATCTAAACACCTAAATTAGGTGCCAGTTCCCTCCACGTAGAAAGTCTTCCCTGGAGACACTCATCCTTTGCAGATTGCTCATGGTTGCATTGCCTTATCCCATCAATCTAATCCATGTAATTCAATTTAAATTAAACAAAGCATAACTGTATTACCAATAAATCACACCAGGGATCGAATTTAATCTAGATTACGTAAATTAGTACACGAGTTTTAGGGATTATGATAAAATAATTTTAAAAATAAGGCAGAAAAACATTTATCTTTTGGACTGCATAAAAATATAATCGATCGGAACAAATTTACCTCCACTTCTTCCTTTTCTAAATCTCTCCAGTTTAATAGTGTTTCTGTAGTTGTAGTTCCATTTAATTCACGTAAAGGATATATGACGTGGCCGATGACATTATATCTTTTACCACGATCGTTATCGTATACGGTCAACTTGATTGCTCTTTCGTTTAATGTGCGAACGGGTATCTAAAAATAACAAGTTTATAATGATGAAATATAATTGAAAGTAAACTAAAACAAAATGAAAATTTAATCAAACAAACACCTGAAAAATAAATGTTTCTTCGAATCGTGGATTACATGTTTTCTTCTTTTGTTTCGATTGAAGATATCTTCTCTCGTCCGGCATCAGTGATATTCTGAATTAAGAAAGAAATTGGTAATTAATTAATTATATTTAGTTAAATTGGATTTTGCAAAATTAATTAATCTTGTTTTTCTAAGTTTTAAAGTATTTTTCATGTTGTCAAATCGAGTAATTGTTTTCTTGGTGCTCTTTCCACTTTAAGGGTCTTTTAAATCACATCCATCGTGGATTCGGCCAGGCCCACAATGAATGATGACAAACGAGGCCCGACATATTCGAGATGGACCGCCTTTGAAAAATTCCTGGTGTTGTTCGCCCGGATTTGTTCTCGAATCCCCCAGAGCAGTAGATTGAAGCTTTACGCGATTGCGATGACATTATATAACACAGTAAAACCTGCATATACATGAATTACACGGTACCAAAATTTTTCCATTTTTTCTTTAATTCCTAAAAAACTTTTCCCATTTCTCATTGGACATGTTTTCGGCTTATAGTAAAATTTAACGTATAAAATAATTCCGTTTCGAAATTCGTACGGTTTCCGTTTTAGACAGGTTATACCGTATTTTAAATAACACAAATTTATGCAGTATATTTTATATTTAAAGTTTCAATATTCTATATTGACTAACAACAAATAAACAGTAAATAACAGCTTTCTACATCAGGTAATAGCAAATAGCAATTCTTGTCGCAAAACGTAAGCGCCATTTTACATTAATCTTGACATATATTTATGAAGGCAGAATGGCCAAGAGGATAAAAGCGTTATCCAACCTCTCCCGGGACCGGATCCAGATTGGAACTTAAATTTTCACGGACAATTTAATCCGAATGTCACACCACTCACCTACTGGCCTCTTAGTGCTCAGACGGAGAAGAAAATGATACAACTTATAGACATAATTTTTATCTCAATTATCAATTCATTTTAGTAAAATCAAAAATATCCTGTAAATACCTTAAATATTTATTGAACAAATTCTTACATTTTTCTTAAATTTATGAGTTAAATTATCTTATAAAATATTTTTCAAGAAAATGACCAACCTGACAAAAGGATCACAACAATTTATAGAACCGCATACTCTAGAAGGAAGATTTTTCACTTTAATCAAATGAACTACTAGACGTTCTGAGGAAGCATCATACTCCACACCGAACCATATACGTCCCTTGTTACCATCCGGAAAATATATTTCTTCTTCCGGTTCCTCCAGTCCAACTTTATACAATTCGGGATTAAGACCACCGAGTAAAGAAGTACCTTTAGAGAATATTAATGATTTAATAAGATATGTGTATTATTAACTTAACTTTATAGTAAAGTGTAACTGTACCTGGGAGTCCTCCTCCTTCCAACAGAGCCAATCGTGCCCATAAAGATACATCTGGTGAAGATCCGGATGATAATGATACAGTATCCACTGGACTGGGTAAAGATGTTACAGCTGTTGTGATATTTGGAACAACGAAGTCTATTGATCTATTCTGACTGAAAGCATTATAATTAATTAATTTAATAATTAAATTAACTGTAAATTAGCAAATTTTATATAGAAAATTACTAAGTTTTTGTTCATAGACTATTACACACGTGAAGAACCTGGAAAACTCCACGTTGGCCAACATCAATTACGTGTTCAATAGTTTTATCCACTTAATCACTAGTGGTTTATTGAAAAATATGGATTAACATGTTTTTGCCTCAAGGAAATTATATTATATGCCCCAATTATATTATTATTCTCAATAAAAATGCGTAAAATTCTGTAAAATGTCAGTAGATATGTGTAAAAAAATGAAGAAAAATTTCCTATTTTACAATCGATTTACATTAAAATATGAATATATTTTTTCAAGAAAAAACACACCAAATTCATAAATATGTATGAAACTAATATTATGCATCATTGCAAATACAAATAAATAAAGTCAACACAAGAAATACATCAAAGAATAAATGATAGATTATGATAACGCCTGAATTTCTAATATTTAAGAATGCGTGAAAATTCTGAATTATTCATAACTATTAATAGAATACATTATTGAATTAGACATTCCTACTGAGAATTCTCTATTTACTTATTTCAATATTTACTAAAGCTTTAAAGAAACTGAAAAATAAATTATTGAATTATAAAATGAGTTATTTCGAATCATTAGAAATCTTTAATTTAAATAAAATATTCTTTATGAAAATAATTAATAATAAGCCATAGTGTAAACACGCAAATTGTAATGTAAATAATATCAAATTATTATTGAGAGAGAGATAGGATTTTCAATACAGTATAGCCTCGATTATCCGACTCAATTGGGGACTGGGGTTGGTCGGATAATTGAAAAGTCGGATAACCGAAAAGTATGAAAAAATCCATTATTAGTGTAGTATATTATTATATCCCATGTAATTAGTATATTAGTATATCGCTATTAACCTACTTCGCGTTGAATTTTCATCGTTGTTAAGCCTAACAAAAATTTTTTAAAATAATAATCGTCGCTATTGTATCGTAAAAAATTAGAAAATTAAGCCTCGTTTAAATACTGGCTCCCTTTCATGGTCAAATGAGTGAGGCCTGCTAAAACACGTAAAAATAATATTAAAGTAGCCAAGACATAGCCAAATATTGTAGCGCCACATTACTAGCGGACATTTGAAATTTGCCGACTAGGACGGTCGGTTAACCGAGGTGTCGATTAATCGGGAGTCGGATAATCGAGGCTCTACTGTATTTTAAGAATAATTTCTCAAAATATGCTTTGAACTAAAAGAAAAAAAAAGTACTAAGTAGACTGTTTATAAATTTATATGAGGAAATAATGATAATATAAGAGGCCTTTCTCCTTCACAAAATAATAATGGAGTACAGTAGAGTATCGTTTATCCGAATCTATTGGGCACTGAGGTTGTTCGGATAACTTATTTTTCGGATAACCGATTATGTACGAAAAAATATAACCTATCCCGTGTTGAAATTTTTCTCCGTTGCGTGTCGCTTCGCGTTGAATTTTCGTCGATGTTAAGCCTAACGTATACTTTTTAAAATAATAATCGTGGCTATTGTATCGTTAAAAATNAAATTCTTCTATGAAAAGTAAGTTATATTACTTTATTTTTCATAGAAAAAACTTGATAATTTTATATTAAGAGCAAATGTTTATTTACATTTTAATTTTGGATTGGAAACCTGACAAATGATCGCTTTCGGGTTTTTCGTAATTATTTATCATTGACTGAATAATATATTTTGAATTCTTTATAAATTTATTTACTTGAATGGCCATTTCTCTTTCCATTCGTGACATATAGAAATAATTAATCAACTAACACTCAAATAATTTAATTTCCTCTACACTTACATCAATGGAGCACTTTGCAAACAGTCAGTACTCTAGGAATGTTCGATTCTGTAATAATTTCTGTAAAATAATTTTATTCTTCTTACATCTTACAATATCCGTAACAGAAATGTATATATATAGTTTTCGTATTCAATGCCAGCTTAGTAGAGATTTTGGTATTCTTTTTACTATGTATAACTCGAAATCGAATTGTTTGTTGTTTTTGCAACGCGACTCGCGGGTAATCAGCCTTCCGGGAGAAATTTCTACGGGAATTTGGCCTCTATTTTAGGTGTTACAAATGTGAAGAAAACCCAGAAAACTCCAAGTGGTCAGTCCGATGAAGAGGCGCGAAACAGTGCTCAGGTGTCTCATCCATTCGGCCATTGGTGAGTCCGAAATCGAATTCTAAAGCATTAAAAATGCTTGAACGAAATCATGAGAAATTGTATATGGAAATGGTAAAATCATCAAAAATGATAGATCCATCAAGAACAAAAGAACTGCTTATCATAAATTGAATTACTTATTATGTTCTATGGAGGATTTTCAGTGTCTTATAGAGTTCTAACCACTCAAAATAGGTTACCATTACCGTTCAATTTAAATTTATTGTAAAAATAATGTATCTTATCACTTATTCATTCCATTAATAATTTAATTAATTAGAAATCCTCCAAGTTCCTGATAACCTCGAAAATAGAAAAAAAAAATAGAAGAAAAATTAATTAAAAAATATTATATTGAACTAAATCTTACTTGATGAAGTTAAAACAGTAAACTGTGAATTTAAATTATAAAGCATTAACAAATTTATTTTCAACTGTGTTTTAATTATTTTGTACAATGTCAATATTCCGTCGTTTACTTAATGAACTTTCTGAATAAAATTCTATTATAAGGATAGTACATTTATAATCAATAAACAAAGCAGATAAATAAATCTCCTGTATTATATAATATTTTTATAAATACATAACATTATAATAAACTTTTGATTATTATTTTAGAAATTCTTGTTTGTAAACACTGAATTTCCAAGTTTACCGATAATGTTATTAAATTGAAAACAATTTAAAATTCTGTTTGATAACACATTTATTAAAAGTTTAGAATATTCTATAAACTTCCTTGTTAATATTTATATAGTAGACATTTGAATAAGTAGAATTTATGTTAAATTAAATATCAACAAATAAATTAATGCATAGTTTAGAAAATGCAGAAATTTCAAACAATTTGTAAAGATAATTTAAATTTAATGTTAACAATTTACATACTAAATTAATCTTAAACATAGTCCAATTTATTATATATACTATACAACAACTATAATATTTAACTTTGTATTTATACGATTGAAATCGTGGAATAATGTTATTCAAATATTATTTCATCAATTTCAAGCCCTGTTTTTGAATACTTTCACACGCCGTGTCGTATTTTGTCACCAACTTTTAGACACCCCCTTATGCTGACGTCACATTCGATCTACCACCACCGGACATCACCATCATCATCCGTTAGAATCTGTCACACATCCCCTTCCCAAGTGAGAACCGTCATATTTGAATGACCCGAATGAATAATAAATATATACATATCTTTATTTCATTATATTTATTTTAACATTTATTAAGTTGTACAGAATGTAATTTTTCTGAAAATTTTGTTTAAAAAACGTAGTAGTAAACGTTAGATCAGGTAAAACGTAACGGCATATTCCAGATAATTTTTTGGTCGTGGTAGAATAAAGCAAAGTAGTATCATTTGAAATTAAAACATATTCGTTCTCTGATTGGTTGGGAATGGTGAAATGAACAATAATAGGCGTGATCATTGAAGATTCCAGTAATTTTATTTGTGAACTTCCATCGCATTATAATATTTACATTGTCATAAATGTTAATTATTTCAAATTAAGAATTACACTAATATACAAATACACTTCGTTTTACGACCACTCATTTTCTAATTCCTACTTTTCTAAATTGATATTTATTTTTAAATTATGGCTGCATTAAAATATCGTATTTAAGTATTTTTAAGTAAACATTTACATATTGTATTATAAAATTAAAACTAAAATTTAGGAATTTAATCTTATAAAATTGGGCTTATGAAGAGTGAAATGGCCTTATTTACGACGACAGTTTGCAAATTAAATTGTAAATGCCGAGAATTGTTATATTTAAAATTAACGCCTTTCACTTTTTATAATTTAATAAAATAAATATATATAATTATATTTAGGGATGGATTTATTTTTTGTAGTATTTTTTTTTTATATCGAGAGGAGTGAATTGGATTTATTCTTCATATTACTTTAACTTCTTTTAGATGACAACACAAATTGCATTATAGACAAAACGGACAGTTTTGTCTTAATCGATTGAAGTAAGAATAAAGAATAAAATTTACTTATCAGATTTTGATATAATTAATGAAAACGAAAATCATGTGAAACTATATCGATTAATTTCGAACCCGAATCCTCAGCACTTATCGAACCAGAATCTTTGATATATACTGACTTTATCAAATTATATTCTAAGTTATTTTGACCTTAATTTCCGATTACATATACCAGTGGTCGAATGGATAACACCACTAAACAATGGTAATTCGTAGATTTGTGCCTCGCCAACGGGCTACCACATGAAGTTTTCGGGGTCTTCTTCACGTTAGTAACACCTAAATAGGGTCAATTTCCCATAGAAACTCCTGTCGAAAGATCGCCCACGTGTCGCGTTGGGCGTCCGAAAAAATCGAAAAACACATGTAAGGCTTATAAGTATTATATAATATACGGGAGCAGTGCTATATGGAGTTCTGCTAAGTAGCGCTACTCCCGTAAAGAGATGTTAAATATTACAAAAACATATTACTACCTTCAACACCTAAATTACAAAATGTACGATTTTGCATTGCAAACGATATTTGTTATCTGTCAATCTTATTAAAACTCTACTTTAATTTATTGAAGGAGCCACTATGACAAACGACATCTGTACTCCAAAGACGAGCAAGTAAATAAAAGATCTAGCACATCTAATTTCCTTCTCCTCGTTATTTCAGTTTTATTAAAGAACATACATACAAAAAAAATTAGCAATTTCGATGGGAAGCCTATAGCAAACACTCTGTGTGATATGATATTAAGGAAGTTAGAGAAATCAGACATGAGCTCCTTCCGGAACAACATGTACTGTAAACGCTACATCGATGATACGTTTCTGGAAGAAAATACTGGACATGAAACATTTCCTTGAAGAAGTCAGTTCTGACAATTTTGTTAATTTTTCTTGGAACAACTCGCGAGGAAAGCTCCGTTGTCAGTTAAAGCATACTTCTGAACATTAAACTCCGTTTTGAAAAATCTAACAACGAGTTGCGTAACTTTCCCGGCTGTTATGGGATTTTATTCAAAAAAATAACTTTTATGTTATTAATCATAAGTATAATAAATTAAATTGCGCATGGCGCCATCTGTTATGGGGTTTTCTTATAAAAAGCTTTCTCGTATTATTAAATATTAGAAAAAGGCAAAAAACTTAATTTTTTGGTTGAGATAAGTTTCATAAAAAAAATAAATAAATGCTAATAACGAGTAAAATCCCTCTCGAGATATGACACATGACACTTCTTTATCTCCTCACCTCCTCGACTTTTAACAATCAAAATTTAATAGCATCAACCCTCCAATACACAAACCTCAACTTCTTCGATGAAAGAGACAGGAATTTTTAAGCTACGAAATGGGATAACAAAATCGTGTCCTCCACACATACAAACACTAACATCCAAACATACAGAAAAACTCCCACAACTTTTTGCATTTCTTGACGTTTCAAAGTCCTAGTATAAAAATATAAAAATCTTGGGGAATTAATTTTTGACTAATCGCTATACTTACATCCTGTTATACATAACAGCCGGGAAAATGAAAAAGGGGTATAAATAATAACACATACAGAAAACTTACAGCTTACCGGTTAGACACCTCATACAATCCAGTTTCATATAAAATCTCAGTATTTAGAGTCCTCATCAGATGGGTGCATACTAACTGCGATAAACAAACAACACTATGAAGAATAAGTTCACACTAAGAACTTGGTCACGAAATATGGTATAAACAGAATACAGAAAACGTGACCATACACACGTCAAAAATGAAAAAGGTCGTAACATATGCCAAAGAACTTGAAAATATATATAAAGCGATCTGTCACAAAGTAAGATACAATGTCATCTACTGACGAAATCCCACCGTACTTACATTAATAAGGAGCGACACAGACCGACTTAAACAGTATCCCAGGAGTATACGAGTCCCAGTGGTTGACAGAAGCTATGATATTGTTATGATCAAATCATGTGACCTTCAATCTAGTGTGTTGATCCTTGCGAATCTACATACAAGATTGAATGTAATACCATCTTACAATGCATTATTATTATTATTCGAGGTGCCACACTCGATTTAGAATGTCAGATATTTTTAGAGGTGGCATTAAAGAAACGGCATGACAAATTTTTAATCATATTTTTAATGTATTTAACCACCTGAAATTAGTAGTGGCTTGCCCCTGTACATCATACTTTTACTTTAAATAAAATAAGATAAAAACATTTAAATGCAAGGTATAGTGATGGCAATTCTCTGCCATCACTACATAATAAAAAAATCTATTATTATTTCACAATTAAATCTCAGCCTTAAATATAATAATTATAAAAAAAGAAATTAAAATAAAATTTTAAAAAATTGAGGTAGTTCTTATGTTAATACGAAAGATACATAACCTAAAAGATTTCAAAATTTTTTATCAGCAGAATGATGATTGGTTGAAGTAGGAAAATAGGCGGAGCTATACTAATACATTTTGAATAAATTTAAAACTGATTGGTTTATAATATCTTTAAGAATTTTTTTCAAAGGACTAATTATCTCATTAAATTTTACTTTGAGGATTGTTTTAATTCCATTAAAAATACAGTACATTTTTAAAATTTTAACATATATTTCATATTTTAAGGAATTTGACCTCACTATTCAATTTTTGTAGGTGAAGACACGATTCTTATTTATCCAACAACATACACTGCTTCCTTCTAAAATCTTTATTTAGACTACATATGAATTTCATGCGTAAGCCTGATTAAAAAGGCCTACATGGTTTACGTAAATTAAAGGCTTATGTGTAGCCTGAATAAAGATTCCAGAAGGAAACAGTACCCGTGTATTATCGGATAAATCAGAATCTTGTCTTCATCTACAAAATTTGAAATTTAAACAGAATTTTTTCCTGATTATCTAAAATTAGAAAGATTATATTTTCTCGTCTCTTCTTTGATTAAAAAAAATGTCTTTTATGAATTAAAAATCAGTTTTGTATAAGGGCATTTACTTACGTGACACATCCATAGAGAGATGGATCTAGTGACCTGTTGCCAATGCTTCCTCTCTTCGATGTTCCGTCTTCTAAAAATTGCTCATAACTTCTCTTTCTATGCCGATAGATAGCTAATCCAATAGCAGATGCAACAACCAAGAAAAATCCAGAAACCATAAGCCCTAGAGCTACCGGTTCATCTGAAAATAGAACTTCTTATTAACTACAAAATTAAAGGATTTATGATAATTAAACGAGTGATGGTTCTGATATTATCCAATTTTATAAACGTTGAACATTTATGAACTTTGCATATAAATATACAGCAAAATATGAATGCTACTTCAGGAAATATAGTACGTACAGTACATTAAACAACACATTATCATTTCTTTATTCTATCTTTAGCATTCTCTTAGAATTCCATTTTATTTATTTATTTATTTTCTTTAACAATTTGAATTATACAGAATAGCTCAAAAGTTAGTTAACCGAGATAAATGCTTATCATTTAGAGTCGCGTAATATAAGTAAACACACCAATGATATATGTTTGATTATAATGAATCCTTACAATGATCCTTAAATTAAGTTATCAAAATCTTTACTTTTAACGAATGTATAAAGTTAATTTTAATTAATTTTAAAATATATTAAATTATGTAATAATTATTAAAATTTTTAATAGTGTTTAAACAATTTCTCTCCTAAATTTTTATGTATAAAAACTTCTGTTTATATGAATTTATAATTAACTTTTCCTTATTACTATCTTTCGTGTTTCTTTAATTTAATTAAGATTAGTAACATTAAAACTTTTATTATACAGTATATATATTTTTATAATAATAAAATACAAATTTTTCTCTCTAATTTTAATAAATTTATAATTGAATTTATTTAATCTACGAATTATATTTTGTAATTTTTAAATTTTATATTTTCGGCAGTATTCGTAGTGTTATTGGTTCAATTAACAAAGTTTGTATAAATCTCATTTAATATTCGAGTAAACAAAGTCTATCCTGTAGATCGATATTGTAATTCCAAAATTATTGTGGCATCGTCACGATGCCGGACTGCAATTTTTAATCATCTTTTAATTTAGAAAATCACATGATTTCCGGTCCACGCCGGCGGTTCGTGTGTAGTTAATCGGGAATCTTTCCAATTTTGTCGCGATCTTCGTCGAGATGAACGAAGGATCTTGTCATCAAAAATATTCATAAACAAAATTCAAGGTATTCATAAACTAAAATGATCATAAATTAAGTTTCTAAAGTATTTAAATGAGATTAAAATTAGTTTGCCAAGTACTAATGTTAGAAACTTGCATTCTTTCATGTTTTCATGGTTACTGCATTACATTGATTGGGGATTCCTTTGATGATGTGATTTCTCTTCAGTAATTTTTTTCATGATAAACTTTGTCCGAAATGTTAGATAAGGGCATCGCATATCAAAAGTAAGAACGTAAATCATTCTCAAAGTACAGTACATCTAGAAAACAGCAACCAAAAAATTCGGTTTAGAAATGTTATCATTGAATCCTTGAAGATAAGCTTGGATTATGTTGTACTTTATTATATCTTGTATATTCAATCAAATTTACTTTAAATTTAATTTTATAATACTTTATAATTTTATTGATATCGTAACTTTTATTATACAAGGCGTAAAGAAACTACTTTCTAATATTTTAGAGTTAATACTTGAAAATTGAACCTCTCAAAAATGTCTTTCGGCATCCTGAGTATACGTTTTCAACTGTTTTTGTAAATTATCCTGTTTAAAAAAACAAAATCTTATCCAAATTAAATTTACATTGAAGAACTCTTGTTTTCAATATATATATATATATTTTTATACCGTAAAACGGATGGATACTGCAAAATCTTATCTGAATAAAGCTTCGTTTACATTTATTACAAGGGCCTACTTGGACAATATTTACTTACTTCAATCCATTGACAGAGCATGTAAACATACAAAATTACATTAAAATCTTAATGTTATTACATTAGCGGGGAATTTGAAAAGTACCTTTTTGGCATGCCACAAAACAAAGTGGAATTTGAAGAAGAAAAAATAAAAAACGTTTGTAGAGAAATAATATTAGGCTTATTTTAAACCATAGAACTTATAAAATATTGGCAGGGAATTTCATTAACTCCGTTAAAAATTATAAATCTTGTTTTATTTTCAATTAACTATTGAATTAATTTCTGTTATAACTAATTTAAGATTTCAAAAACTAACAAAATGATTAAAAGTTAAATAAATATACAAGTTAATTTCTATTTTCGGAGGAAATATAACTCAAAGTTAGGTCACGTTCTCATAATTTTTTCTTAGTAATGTAGGAATTTTCGTTTTATAATCCTCCTCTGTGCTAGATTACATGGGTTCATACCTATCTCCAATGAGCATTTATCTGCTGTTACCGGACTAAAAAGAAAAAAAAATCCAGAAAAGTGAATCATACTTTTCGATTAGCCTTTAAATGAAAACGATTTCATAATCCAACAAAAACATTAAAATTAATTACAAGGGTGTGGTACTTAAATGGATCAATCATTGAATTATACTGAAGTTCTTTAATTTTGTCATTATTGCATTTACTATTATAACGATTTATTCATCAATTATAACATAATTTACGATTATACTTCCTCTTCCTATTTCTATTTTAATACATTTAATCGCGTTAGAAGCAAATTTCTATTATATTTTACAATAATGTTCCAAATGGAAACCAGATATGCCCTGTAGGATATATCACATTTATCGATTCCTTAAATAGTCACTGATAATAAGGATATTTTTGTGTTGAACTCATTATACTGAAACCTTATACTAACTCTCTGTTATAAAAGATAGATATTATAAAAGCTAGAAAGCAATTATCTGAGAAGAATTATCAAATTTTAAAGTACACATTTACGAACGGTTGATATAAATTACTTTCCCATATTGATTGACAATTCGGCAAGCTCGAAGCGAACAAAATAATAATGATTTATTCACATTATTCATATTACAAGTGCAAAAGTTACAAGTTCTTAAAAGTTTTCGAGTATTTAAATGAAAGTTATGGAACTAAATAGGTTGCTTACGAAGTGATATTTACATCTGGTCGCATTGACTCGCGGGCAATATCTTACAGCTTCTAAAATTTACTTTAATGCAGTCGAATCCGCTTAAGAGAGCTCTCTCGGGATCCCTGCATCATACTCCCTTATCAGAAATAACAAGACCATCCAGGGGATTGTTAATGGTATTCGATTCTTTCTTTTTCTTACGTCTTATGTAACTTTTAACACACTCGGAAACGCTAAAATTCATTATCGTATTGGTTTCCACTCTTACATCATCATCGGATCCAGAAGAACCCAAACTTTTGGCTAGCTCAAAAATTAAAAATGTTTGAATAATAATAAGGATATTTTATTAACACGTGCATGACAATGGTCCGATAAACAATAGTAGTTTAATGTTTAAGTTTTCTTGTTTCAATGGGGAGGGCTTAAGCCTCTGTATTTCCTTGGATCCGCTGCTTTAGCCCTCTTGAATCTACTCTTCACATCATCAATTTTATTGGTAAATACACTTATCACATAAATTAATATATATGGAGTATTTACTAGTCACATTACTTCACTTATTCCCAGGTGCAATAGATGGCCTAGCTGAAAAGATGCGTATATCCTTGCTGCAAAATTTCTCGGTGCTCTCTAATGAGCGCACTGTACTATAAATCAGTATAGAAACAAATAAGTACAGTACAGTATCACATGACCAACGAAATCTAGTCGTTTATCACATTATGCCTCGTGAGCACGTACACGTTACAGTACACGTAACCTGCGCTGTTTGTTCGTATATATTTCATGATACCTTTTTGAACGTAATTGCTTCTCACAAGTGTGTTTATGATGATTCTGTAAATGTTCAATTAGTAAACTGACTAGACGTTACACCAAATCTCAACAAATTCCATAGTGTCGCGAGCCCTTTTGCCTTGTGTCCATGGTACCGTAAGATAAAGTATGGTGAGCGGTAAAAAACTGACTCTCCCCAGATTTTTACATTTTTGGTTTCAGGCACCTCGAAACGTCGAGAAATACAAAAAAAAAAAAAAAAATTCGGGCTTTTTTTCCACATTTATGAATGTTAGTGTGTGTGGAAAGCACGATTTTGTTCGCCCTCTTTGAAGCTTATAACCGATGTGTTTTTTGTCGAAAATTTCTGAAATTTTGCTGTATTAAAAGGATTGAGGCTATTAAATTTTAGTGGTTAAAGGTCGAGGGGGGTGTTGGGAGATAGAAGGAATCGTGTCGATTTTCCTCGGTATTACGTCCGATCTTACATTATTACAATTTTAATAAAACGCATCCCTACCCTCAAATTTAAGTTTATTTTCCATTTTATAATAATTAAAAATATAAAAAGTTTTTAAAATAAAATATCCTAACAGATGGCGCCACCAAAATATTACCGAGAAAGTTCATCAACTCGTTATTAGATTTTTTTTTAAGTTGCAACCCAATAAAACACGAAAACCTCCATAAATAATAATAAAATACATATTATACAAACATTATTTAAAAATATATTATTAGAATACAAAATAAATATTTTACATATTATAAATTAAAACGATAGTCTGCAAATTATCCAACGATAAGCATCTTATCTAGATGATAAATAATAATCATTTCGCCATTTCATATGCAAATTTCGATAATAAATATTTTAGCGAGAGATAAAAAAAAAAAACATAAAGAAGAATATATATTAATCTTTTTTTTTTTCTTTTTACTTATTTAAATTCTAAAATTCAATTGATCTGAAACGGAATATCTTAAACGATATTCTAAAAATAGTTTTATATATGTATAAAAAATTCGAATTTTCTTAAATATTTCTAAAGTTTCTGCAATTGATAAAGATTCATAATAAAAATTGACGATAAAATTATTTAAAATTTCGAGATTTATAATAAAAATTTCTACAATTGATGAAGATTCAATGAAAATTTTATGTTAAAAATTTCTACGATTGATGAAGATTCATGATGAAGACTTAATGATATAAATTTCTACAAATGATAAAGATTAATGGTAAAAATTTCTACAATTTTAACTGCAATTTATTCTTCTATAATAGTAAACAATTACGTATCCTTGACAAATATAAATACCTTTATATCTATATTTTAATCCCTTTCGTGGAAGAACTTCCGTTTATTCATAATAAGTTTGAAAGAAATATTCATTTATTTATTCTGATGTGATCTTTCTGCTATTCGTTATAGAAGTTTTACCCACGCAAATAGTTAAAAGCTAATTTCAAAACGATTCGAAATGTCAATATCCACGTGACACATGAACTAGAGATGAAAATTGATAAAGATCTTAAATGAAATTTGTAGATGATAAATGCTAGAAAGGTATACAAATTTTATGTTATGCAAGTGATGCTCTTCGTGCAAAATCATGGTCAGTATATAATTATATTTAGGGATGGATTTATTTTTTGTAGTATTTTTTTTTTTTATATCGAGAGGAGTGAATTGGATTTATTCTTCATATTACTTTAACTTCTTTTAGATGACAACACAAATTGCATTATAGACAAAACGGACAGTTTTGTCTTAATCGATTGAAGTAAGAATAAAGAATAAAATTTACTTATCAGATTTTGATATAATTAATGAAAACGAAAATCATGTGAAACTATATCGATTAATTTCGAACCCGAATCCTCAGCACTTATCGAACCAGAATCTTTGATATATACTGACTTTATCAAATTATATTCTAAGTTATTTTGACCTTAATTTCCGATTACATATACCAGTGGTCGAATGGATAACACCACTAAACAATGGTAATTCGTAGATTTGTGCCTCGCCAACGGGCTACCACATGAAGTTTTCGGGGTCTTCTTCACGTTAGTAACACCTAAATAGGGTCAATTTCCCATAGAAACTCCTGTCGAAAGATCGCCCACGTGTCGCGTTGGGCGTCCGAAAAAATCGAAAAACACATGTAAGGCTTATAAGTATTATATAATATACGGGAGCAGTGCTATATGGAGTTCTGCTAAGTAGCGCTACTCCCGTAAAGAGATGTTAAATATTACAAAAACATATTACTACCTTCAACACCTAAATTACAAAATGTACGATTTTGCATTGCAAACGATATTTGTTATCTGTCAATCTTATTAAAACTCTACTTTAATTTATTGAAGGAGCCACTATGACAAACGACATCTGTACTCCAAAGACGAGCAAGTAAATAAAAGATCTAGCACATCTAATTTCCTTCTCCTCGTTATTTCAGTTTTATTAAAGAACATACATACAAAAAAAATTAGCAATTTCGATGGGAAGCCTATAGCAAACACTCTGTGTGATATGATATTAAGGAAGTTAGAGAAATCAGACATGAGCTCCTTCCGGAACAACATGTACTGTAAACGCTACATCGATGGTACGTTTCTGGAAGAAAATACTGGACATGAAACATTTCCTTGAAGAAGTCAGTTCTGACAATTTTGTCAATTTTTCTTGGAACAACTCGCGAGGAAAGCTCCGTTGTCAGTTAAAGCATACTTCTGAACATTAACCTCCGTTTTGAAACATCTAACAACGAGTTGCGTAACTTTCCCGGCTGTTATGGGATCTTATTCAAAAAATAACTTTTATGTTATTAATCATAAGTATAATAAATTAAATTGCGTGTGGCGCCATCTGTTATAGTGTTTTCTTATAAAAAGCTTTTTCGTATTATTAAATATTAGAAAAAGGCAAAAAGCTTAATTTTTTGGTTGAGATAAGTTTCATAAAAAAAAATAAATAAATGCTAATAACGAGTAAAATCCCTCTCGAGATATGACACATGACACTTCTTTATCTCCTCACCTCCTCGACTTTTAACAATCAAAATTTAATAGCATCAACCCTCCAATACACGAACCTCAACTTCTTCGATGAAAGAGACAGGAATTTTTAAGCTACGAAATGGGAAAACAAAATCGTGTCCTCCACACATACAAACACTAACATCCAAACATACAGAAAAACTCCCACAACTTTTTGCATTTCTTGACGTTTCAAAGTCCTAGTATAAAAATATAAAAATCTTGGGGNTTTTATACTTTTTTTTAAAATTAATTTTTAATGATTAGATATGTTCAATATTCATTTTTTTTTCTTATCTTTACTTAATGTATCTGGAAGAAACTTCCGTTTACTTTCATAATTTACAAGTGTTATTCGTGACTTAATAACCAGTTAGAGGTTTATGATCATAGAAACACGTTTACCATCTTTAATGGATAAAGAATTACTGATCCGTGTTTTATAATAAAATATGTCAAGATATTTCCTACCATAAAAATAAATTATTTATAAATTTATAAGATAAAACATAAGGTTTTTAAATAAAATATTATTGAGATGCTAAAATTAAGTAGAAAATACATGCAGCCCTCTTTGTTATAGGCCTATACAAGATTGAGTTATAAGAAAAACTTTTTTAATGGTAATTGGCTGGTAATATGTTTATCTTAACGATGATTGGTTGATAAGATTTTTTAAAAATTTAAATTGTAAAAATAGGCGGAGTTGTCTAATTTTAAATTTCTCAATCAATTATTGGTATGATGTTCAGATTGCTGACCAATCAACGTTAATTAAAAATGATTAATTTTTGATATAATACCATTGATATCTTTGACATGAAAAGAAAAAAAAATACGGTAGTAGCCGTTATTGTCGGTTCACCTGTATAATAATGATTTATAAATGTACACATGAAGTAAATTTGAAGGATATTTGCGTGAATATTTCCATCATTTTCTTAGTATTTTACCCATCTTCTACCGCTAAATTTTATCGAATTTTTTAAATTGACATTCTTGACTACACTCTCTTATTTTCTCTTAAGTCTAAATATTGATTAATGTCTTAGCTCTTTCTATATATATATATAAGTGCATGTTTACCTATCGTTTGTACCTTTCTATGTATTGACCCGTTTCTCATCTCTCTTTTCCTGTCTGTTGACCCAATGTTCTTTCTCCTCTGTTGATCAAATGTTATATCTTAGCATCTTACATATACTCCGCATGATATTGATGTGAATTTTTCTTTATTTTATTATGATATTATTCAGATAAAACATCACATAAATAATTCTTCATCTATTCATTAAATATTTGACTTTGACTTTCTTTACTTATATATATTGGTACATATATAAATACATCTTAATCTCTTTTTAAGGTTTGTTAACTCGTTATTACCATTTAATTTGTTTGTTTTTAACCGTATTAAAAAAACAATCTAAAATCTCATAAAACAGCATTTAATTTTATTTTATTGTAATTAAAAATTTTAGAATTAGAAACTCAAAAATTTCGTAAGAATCATTTAAAAAATTTAATATTTTCGATTCTCAATCTTAATTAATAAGATTAAAAATGATTTCTTGAAAGCTAAACTAATTAATTTCTTTAAAATTTGACAAAGAAATTAATTTAATTTTGAATTTAGTAAATTGAATGCACTAAAATAACTTTTTTTAAAAATTTACATAAGTGATTATTAAATTAATTTACTGTATCTTATTTTCTTCGGTTATTAAATTATTTTAAAAGAAGAAAAAAATATATATATATATTAAATTGAACAGATCTTTTAAGTAATGTGATATCTACTTTCAGAGTTTTTATCTATAAAAACAATTTCCAATTACTTTTTCTTTCTTTTTTTTTATAACTTTTATAAAACTTTTTGTTGTGTTAAAAAATAAAATAAAATAAATGTGTAAATTTTAAATTTTAACTTGAATTTCTATATGTATTTTGATACTCGAAACATAACTTTACTCGTTATAATGCTGTATACGAATGTTGAGTGTTGTTCCACGTGTGTTGTTGTTTTTGTGTTGTTTCTGGCTGGTACATAGCGTATAACTATGTGTATATTTGCAATATAGTAACAATGTGATCTAATGATGTTCAAAATATATACTTGATTATTATAGGTGTGTTATTATACAGTTATATAATAATTACATTTATATAGTCTATATGTATGTGTGTGATATATGTTTCCATGTGTGTGTAGATGCATTTATTACATACACTCACTCTACATAAATACTATCAATTTATATCTCGATTATGTTTTTATACGAGTGTATTAATGTAATGAAATATATACCAAATAATGGGTATTTGTATGTAATCTAAAAAATTATATAAAATATATTAAATCTTATTATCCTTTGTTTCTCCCCATAACCATTATCATAACCATATTTTTATTTTCATATCTTTTTCTATTTTCCACATTCTATTCATCTTTACTTCATGTTCTCATTGTATACTATTTATTTCTCCTCCTCTTCCTTTCCCTAACATCATCATCATCATCATCCATCCTCATCTACATCACTTTAATTACATAATTAGTTTGGTGTTTACAGTTTTGTTAGTCAACACTTTAAACTTAACAACTTATAATTAAATTTATAAAAATAATATATTTAAAAATTGAATTCGAAGTTTAAACACTTATAACGCACTAAATAGCTTCTATAATTATTATTTTTTAATTTCTAAAATATACTAAAAGCATCATTAACGTATCTAAAATAATTAAATTTTATTTTAATTAAGGTCATATCTTATAACATTAATGGCCTAAAAATATCGAATTTTAGGTAATTAAATATGATTTAATTAAAATTAGCATATAATTTATTATAAATTAAAAAAAAATGGAATAAATTCTAATTAATTTAATTTTAAAAATAGATCTTTTTATGTTTATACAATAAAATATTTTAATGTGAAACTAATTAACATAATAATAAAATTAATTTTAAAATCGCTAAACAAAGTTTAATCTAAGATATTCAGGAAACGTTGCACATGAATTGTGTTGCTGATATAATTTTATCAAAAGCAATTAATTTCCGCTTAAACAATATAACTGAGTCGCTGATAAAGTCATAATCTGTGACATTTCTCCTGTGTAATAGAACTTTAGTTTATTCATAATTCGAGAGAGAGAGAGAGAGTAATTTTAATAATTTAATTTATTAAAAAGTAAAATAAATTTTAATGAAAATTTAAATAATTGTTTTTGTAGAATTTTTATAAAATTTGTTTTAAAATTTTTTTGATTAATAATAGCAAAAAGTCAAAAAAATTTATTAGTTTTATCGTTAATAATCATGCTGTAATCATCATCAGAAAAGATAATGGATCTTTCCTTCATTTTCAAAATTATTTTCTTATGATATTATCTTCTCTTTTTTTCTGATGATGATATATGCGAAGACAAGGATAAAACAAAGAAGCAGATGATAATAAGGAGTAAAAAGAGAAACAAATGATGATGAGGATAATAAGAAAGAGAAAAAGGACGAGAAGCAAGAAGAAGGGAAGAAAAATATTATTATTATTATCGTCATTATCT